TAATTTTCTTTGATTGTTTAAAGCTAAAGCTAAATGACTTGCAGGGATGGGCCCAGGGAAGAGGTGACTGTCAGGAGGAAGTGGGAGGGGAGCTGTTGCATTGTGGGTAATTGTGGTCAATGTCATGAGACACAGTGTATGTGAACTTCTGTAGGGAAAGTGAATTTGCTCTGTAAACTTTCACCCAAATCACAATAAATAAATAAAGCTAATTGAGATCAACTTGAAACCTTAAACCAAAAATTCGCAGTCTTCTTAAAACCAAGCAATAATTTAGCTTAACTAGTAAAATAAATCTGCCTTGAGCATTACGCTCTTTTAAGAGCTATTTTTAAGGGATCAGAATGACGGCAGCAACTCAAAAAAAAAATAAGATAGAACCCTTTGGGGGCAGTGAGTTTGTTGGTGGAAAAGACAACTCAGAAAGGAGGGTGAGGATGGTTATGCAACTGGAAGAAGGAAGTCAGTGTCACCAGATGGTACATGTAGAAACTGTTGCGTGGCTGTATGTTCTACTGTGTACATTCCGAAGAACCACAACTAACTAACTAAAATGATGCGTACAACAAGCTAAACACAAAGACACAGATATCACACACAGTTTGAGCAATTTGCGTCTTATTTTTCCACGACGACCAGGCAGGCCCTAGTGCGTCTGCTCCTTTCAGACTGCCTCCATGTCATCCAGTTTCCTTTTTCATGTCTTCCCTTGGCTGGCGTCACAGTGAGAACGAAGGAAGCGTTCAAGAATTTGTCTGTCTGAGAATCATAAAGGAAAATGCGTGTTGGATTATAGGATAAATGGAGGAGTTCTGTCTACAAAGAAGGGAAATATCTACTACTAATGCTGTAGGTACACATTGGGAGCCCTGGCGGCATAGTGCCTAAGGCACTTGGCTACTAACCAGAAGGCTGGTGGTTCAAACTCACCAGCCACTCCTCGAAAGGAAGGTTGGGCAATTGACTTCCATAGTGATACTGCCTTGGTATCAATGTACACATTTGGTAAGATATTGAAATAACTAAAGGACATTATGTGTAATACCTCAAAAGGCATAATTGTGAGATTATTGATTTAAAAGGGTACATTTAATACTCAAGAGTTCTGCAAAGCTTAATGGGAAGAGCATGAGTTTTGGAATGAAACAGACTTAGGTTTAAACTCTGGGCTGTTAGGTATTAGCAAGCCAACTTCAATTCCTCGTCTTTGAGTACAGTCGATAGTACTTAACTTACACAGTTGTTCAAATGGAAAAATATATGTACCTGGCCCATAACATAACTAATTGTCTTATCCATTTAGAGTGAGGCACTCAGGTGGTGCAATGGTTAGGCACTCCACTGCTAACTGAAAGGTTGGCAGTTCTAACCCACCCAGTTGCTCTGCTTCTTTGGGGGAAAGACCTGGTGGTCTGTGTCTGTCGTGATGACAATATTGGAAACCCTACAGGGGCAGTCCACTCTGTCACATGGGCTTCTGTGAGTCTAAATCAACATCATGGCACACAACAACGACATGGAGATAAACAGCGAACAAACAATAAGGCTGTTGTTCCAAAAGTTCTACAGCAGCCAGAATCATTCTCCCACCCACCAATGCTGAAAGGCTCTGCTTCCTCATGGGAAGGCCTTACAGCTACTTCCTTGGCCTCTGTTTCCTCATCAGTACAATAAGGGCGTCTTGGCCAGTTCTGGAGCCCCCGTGGCACAGTGGTTGAAGCACTCAACTGCTAACGTAAAGGTTGGTGGTTCAAACCTACCAGCTACTCCACATGAGAAAGAGGAGGCAGTCTTCTTTCATAAAGATTGACAGCCTTGGAAACTCTCTGGGGAAGTTCCACTCTGTCCTCTAGGGGCGCTGTGAGTCAGAATCGACTCCATGGCAGTGGGTGTGGTTTGGGCTTTGCTTCTGTGAAGACTGACAGCCTTGGAAACCCTGTGGGGCAGTTCCACTCTGTCCTCTAGGGGCGCTGTGAGTCAGAATGGACTCCACGGCAGTGGGTGTGGTTTGGGCTTCGCCTCTGTAAAGATGACAGCCTTGGAAACCCTGTGGGGCAGTTCCACTCTGTCCTCTAGGGGTGCTGTGAGTCAGAATCGACTCAAAGGCAACAGGTTTCGTTTTCTTTACAGTAGAATTTCAGTCTTGTTTGGCAGCAGGAAATCCCAGCAGAAATAGGTTTCATCAAGAGAGAGCCTTAGTTTCCTAGTGCTGTTAAGGTAGAAATACCACAAGTGGGTGGCTTTAATGAACAGGAATTTATTCTCTCACAGTTTAGGATATTAGAAGTCTGAATCCTGGGCACAGCTCTAGGACATGGCTTTCTCTCTCCTTAGGCTCTGGGGGAAGGTCCTTGTTTCTTCTCAGCCTCTGTTCCTCAGTTCTTTGATGTGACAGCTGGGATGTGTGTCAACTTGGCTGGACCACGATTCTGAGTGATTTGAGCAGTTGTGATGTGGTTATTCCCATGATGAAATCAAATGTATATGTTTTGAGCAGCCAATCCATTGAAAGGGAGTTTCCCTAGGGCTGTGGCCTGCTTCCAATGTCTCTATGGACATCCTGGGAAAAAAGACCCTCTTCTGTGGATCAGGATTCTGTTGTCCTGCCTACAACTGTCTGTGAGCAAACAATCCACCATTCAGCCTGGAGATCTTAGATTCATCATTTGTTGGAGTCAACAGCCAGTGTACTGCCTGCCAACCTTGAGCTTGTCAACCCCCACAGCTGTGTGAGTCAGGAAAAGCCTCCAGTTGGAAGTTTGATCCAGGAACTTGGGACTTGCCAGCTTCTGTAAGTGTGTGAGCCATTTTCCTAAGATAAACTTCTCTCTCTCTAAGTTTTACCGGTTTTGCTTCTCTAGAGAACCCAGCCTAACACACTTGGTGACCTGCATGTACATAGACCTTCCCCTCCATTCTGCTTACTTCTCTGCCTGACTTGTTCTTTTCATGTCAAAGGTGTTTGGCTTACGACACACCTTCACTGACACGGCCTCATTAACACAGCGAGAAAGTCCCACTTACAGATGGGATCATACCCTCAGATACAGGCCGTCAGGATTCACAACACATATTCTGGGGACACAATTCAGTCCACGGCAATGGGGACTTCAGAGAAGTAAGCTTTACCGAGGAGCCCTGCTGGTTCCTTAGTTGTCCCAGAGATGCTGCTCCCAGGAAGACTGCAGCCACCGGGCCCTGGACTGGGTAAGTCTCCACTGTGTGGCGTGAAGGGTCGGGGATGGCATTTGATATCTTTGAGCATGTGGAATATGAAGATTCTCTTGTACCTTTAAAATCACCCCTCTCCGTCGCAGGAGGGATTGTGAGATGGGACAGCCATGGTGGGAAAGAGCTTGGCACTTCCTCATTAAACTCGGCATAGAATTATCATTGTTGTTATGTGCTGACTCCCAGCGACCACATAGAACAGAAGGAAACACTGAGCTTCCGTAAACATGACTCGGCGATTCCTCTCCTGGTTGTTGTTGTTAGGTGCCGTCAAGTTGATTCTGACTCATAGTGACTCTATATACAACAGAACGAAACACCGCTTAGTCCTGCACCATCCTCACAATTGTTGCAGCCACTGTGTTGAGCCACCTTGTGTCAGGCTGGGTTCTTTAGAGAAACGAAACCAGTAAAGCTTATATTATATATATAGAGAAAGGGAAATTTATCTTAGGAAAATGGCTCACGCACTTATAGAAGCTGGCAAGTCCCAAGTTCCTGGATCAAATGTCAAGCTGGAGGCTTTTCCCGGCTCATGCAGCTGCAGGGGCTGAGGAGCTCAAGGTTTGCAGGCAGTGTACTGACTGTTGACTCCAACGAATGACGAATCCAAGATCTCCAGGCCGAATGGTGGATTGTTCACTCACGGACAGTTGTAGGCAGGACAACAGAATCCCGATCCACAGAAAAGTGTCTCTTTTCCCAGGACGTCCATAAATATACTGGAAGCAGGCCACACCCCTAGGGAAACTCCCTTCCAATGGATTGGCTGCTCAAAACATATACATCCAATCCCGTCATGGGAATAACTACATGAGAACTGCTTAAAGCACACAGAATTGTGGTCCAGCCAAGTTGACACACAGCTCCAACCATCACACCCCTCATTGAGGGCCTTTTTGCTGACACTCTGCTTTTCCAAGCATGATATCTTTCTCCAGGGACTGGTCCATCCTGATAACACGTCCTAAGTACATGAGACCAAGTCTGGTCATTGTTGCTTCCAAGGAGCATTCCAGCTGTACTTCTTCCAGGACAAATTTATATAAGGTATATTTAGGTATAGACCCAAAAGAACTGAAAGCAAGGATGCCAACATGTACACCCACATTCATAGAAGCATTATTCACAATACCCAAAAGGTGGAACCAACCAAAGTGTCCATTGACAAACGGATCAACAAAATGTGGTTTATATATATGGTACAAGAGGACTCGGCCAATCAGGGGTGCATGGAGGGATGGACACAGGGAAGAGGTGACTGTCAGGAGGAAGTGGGAGGGGATCTGTTGCATTGTGGTGAATTGTGGTCGATGTCATGAGACAAAGTTTATGTGAATTGCTGTATGGAAAGTGAATTTGCTCTGTAAATATTCACCCAAATCACAATAAAAAAAAAAAAGAGGACTCTTTTAAAGACAAATGGAGAAATGGAGTCCTGATGCTACAACATGGATGGACGTTGAAAATATACTGAGTGAAACAAGTCAGTTACAAAAAGATAAATATTCTATGATGCCGTTTATGTGCAATACCAAGAATAGGCAAATATACGTGTGTGTGCGTGTGTGTGTGTATAAACTGAGTGCCATGAAGTCCATTCCGACTCAAAGTGACCCCATTGGATTTCCAAGGCTGTAAATCTTTACAAAAGTTAGATTGCTTCATCTTCCTTCTGGAGAGCAGCTGGTAGGTTTGACCCACCATCCTTCTGGTTAGCAGTCAAATATCTTTAAGCACTGTGCCACCAAAGCTCCTTAGGCAAGTGGATAACCAAAAAAACCAAACCCACTGCCATTGAGTCGATTCTGACTCATAGCGACCCCCGCTGGGTTTCCAAGGCTGTAAATCTGTACAGATGTAGTTTGTCCCATCTTCCTTCTGCAAAGTAGCTGGTGGGTTTGAACTGCCAACCTTCTAGTTAGCAGTCAAATGCCTTAGGCACTGCACCACCAGAGCTCCTTAGGTGAGTGTACAGAGACCAGTTAATTAGTAGCTCCTGAGGGTGGGAGGGAGGAGAAAGAGGCTCATGTTTGTACTCCATGATGAATGCAGTTAGTGTCACTGAACTGGCCAATGTGCAAGATGTTGAAATGGCAAATGTTTTCTTTCATGTCTACTTACTGCAATTAAAAAAAATAAAAAGCCTGTCGTCAAATAAAGTGCTGACAAACAGGAGACAAAGATTAAATGGAGCCATGAAATGGTGCATATCCTCCCTGGAGAAAACAGTGCATTAAAAGGAAGAGAGAAGTCATCCCAGACCATTTCCATGGCAAGTAAGCGGCACCAGCAATGAGTGAAAAGCCCAAGGTGCCTCTCCAAGGAACAGTGCTATCGTCACCAAGGGCCTCTCCTAAGAAAACATTGCCTTTCCATGGCCTGAGATGTGCACAAAACACTGGGGTTTCCCTGGAGGCAATATTTTCCTTCTCGTGGGCATCAAACTCCGGTGGGTTGGAATGGGAACAATTTCTACTTGGCCTGAAGCAGTTTATAATGCTCTTCAAAGACTCACAGCCCCCCTTACCTTTGTAGGAAACCTTATCCAGGTACTCTGTGATTTGAGAGGGGCTGAAGGA